CCCCGGATTGAGGTTGGGTTTTCGCTTTGTTCCATTCTTCGGCTCGGATGAACTTATCCGAAGCACTAAGAGCTTCCTCCAAGGTCTGCGGGGTATGCATGACCATGAAGTCTAGGAACTTTCCTGGCTGAAGGCCATTCTGCATTGCGAAAACGGCTAGCCCCTGGTCCAGCTGGGAGACGCTTGATGACTCGTTACTGAAACGGGTCAGGTAGTCTCGGAGGCTTTCGGTTTCCCCCTGTTGCAGACTCATGAGCTCTGCGGTAGTCTTCTCTCGGCGGTTTGCCGTGGAAAACTTGCTCCTGAACTTGGAGGACAGATCATCCCACCCTGTTACGGAGCCTTGCCTTACTCCCTTGGAGATCCACGCTTGCGCGACCCCCTTGAGAGTGGTTGGGAAATATTTGCACCAAGTCGCTTCGGATCTGGGGCAAAGATGCATATGAGTCTCATACGAGGCCACGTGGTCCTTCGGATCCGTGGTCCCGTCATATGTGATGTGCGAAGGGATTTTAACCGTGGGTACGCGCTCTTCCAGTATCCATTGCTCGAATGGTGAACTAGCGGGTAGCATAACGGCCTTGCCCTTGTTCCTGGCCGAAGGGACCGCGCTCCGCCCTCTTAGAGAGGTAGGAGTGGTTTTCGTCCCTGGCTGGGAAGTCTGGGCCTCGGCTGCAGGGAACGAGAGGCGACTACGCACGCTCGGTTCCTGGCCGCCGAGTCGGTCAAGGACGCTTCTGCGAACAGTCTCAGGTTCTCGGTGAGTAGATTCTGGCCGAGAAGCTGAGCTGCTGCTCTTATGCGCTTCTGGTCTTGAGGATGAGGATCCTTTTAAAAATTGAGGGTTCTTTTTCCTCTGTTTTTCATTTTTCCAAGAATCCTCCTCCCACTCTTCCAGTTCCTGGAAGGAAGGAAGCTTCCCACCATCATGGTCTAACTTCCTCCGCTGATGCCGGGTATGCGGAGGAGTTCGATCACGAGGTGGTGGCATATTTTGTGCCCTCATCGCCTCCATGAGTACTGCCAGCGCTCTTGCCACCTCTTCCGAGCTGGGCCCCGTCAAAGGGGTCCTCGGCCGAGTGTGGGAATGAGGGCACGCAGCCGATGGTTGGCTTTGGGACACTGAATATGTCCTATGATCGGACTGAACCCTGCTAGACCGAGAGTGGCCCGGCCTATATTGAGAGTCATGAATTACGGGAGATAGGGAATCCTCCTTGTATGATCCTCCCCCGAGCCGGCACCCTTGGGAGAGTTCCGGTCCGGCGAGGGCGATGGTGTAGGGGTTTTAGGCTTTTCGCCCGCTCCTTGACGGAGGCTTTTGCTCTTGCGGTTCTTAGCCATTGCTGCTAAGATAATTGCAAGATGATCTTGGTTAGGAATTTGGCTTAAAGATTTTTGAAAGTCCTCCCCACAGACGGCGCCAAATTGTTTCGGGTGAAAACAATGGGACCTTGCCGAAGGTCCGCTGAAATGGAGAAGGCTGGATTCGGTCCAAGTTATGTTGGGCCGAAGATTTCCTGCACAGTAAACACACGTAAACTAGCCTCGGGGGTGTTGCCGAGGAAGGCCCCTCCGATGCTAAAGTCAGTACAATGTGTAAGAAGAAGACACTATGCAAGAGAGTTTGTTGCTTGAGGCTTTTATGGAATATATCAGAATATATGAATGAACATATGAATCTATGAATGAATCAGAATGAATCTCTCCCTTTGAATGTATCAATATGATGGCTTTTATACCTCATCATACATGGAGAGGTTGGGCCTTAGCCCAATTGGCTTGCTTTGTGGGCTGACCTTTGACTTTAGCACAATTGGAGAGTTGAACCTTGACCTTGGGCTTTTAATTGGATCATTTAGTGCTTAGGCCCAATTGGACTAAATTGGACCCAAACACGTACTATATATCTTTGGTATGCTAGTATATATTTAAGATGACGATCAAATTGATGAAATTCAGGTAATGAAATCATAATTAGTGATTGCAAACAAGTGTCTCTCTACGAGTATTTGAAATGAAAGGTTATTATTAAACAAAAAAAAAACGAGTACACTTTATTCATCGAAAGAAAGGCAAACAAGAACAGTCTTCTCTTAAAACTAATTAAAGTAAACACTTATTCATATATATGTATAGTCGATAGGATAAAATGTATGACAAAATCCTTTCTAAAGCACAATTCTTTTCTTTCCTCTAAGAACACTGATTTAGATTTTGGGAGTTTGAATTATTTGTCAAGTTAAGGGTATCAATGACAAAGGGATGCACAAAGTATGAACAAATAAATATCTTGGGAATGGGGCGCACCAAAACTGTTTATGAGTTGGATGTCATCATATATTCATAATAATATGATATTTTCATAAACATGTTCATTAAGAATATTAGTACAAAAAAGCCCAATGCATCTGTCTAAGTAAGACAAACTTAACAACGATTATTAACGGGCCCCTGATAATCCTAGTCTCATTGAGGCTAACAAAGTTAAAGAAAATTTTTCTTGTTTGAAATTATCGATAAGAAAATTGTTGTTGACAAAAACCTTGGATGTTACATCTTTTCGTGCAATACCAACTAAATTAAGCTAATTAAGATCAAATGATATAGAATAAATGATGTACATACTTATTGCAAATTTGAAGTCTTTGTTTATATGATTGATGTTTACATACTTTCTTGTGCAAATTTGGACTACATATAGTAAATTAGTAATGGGGTGATTATAAGTTATTTTCTATTTGCATTAGCATGGTTATCAAAATGAAAGGGTGTTATATACACCCAGGTGTACCGTACACCCATGAGTATTTTGATATTATTTTACTGTTTGTTTTTCATGTAATTATCAAATTAAGAATAAAAACTAACCTTGGGCTAGTTGGGTATAAGGTGCACTCGGGTATATATAACAAATTCTACATCAAAATACAATCAAGTCATTAATTCTTCTTACCCATGATCACTCATCAAGAATTTCTAGCCGACTTTATAATCTTAATTTATTGTCTTACAATCTATGTATAAATATACCTCGTACATGGTATAATCAATGTTAAATCTTTGTACATTGTGAAATTGTACAATTTAGTTGTACAGTATTTATCTTAAGCTTAACCTACTCCGTTTTAAAGTTTTCTTAGGGCTTAATAATGTATCTCTTATTTCTTAATTGAACCCTAATTTGATACATTAAGAATTTTGAGTAGTACCAAATAAAGCCAATGTTAAGATTTGTAAACTATGTTAGATGATAACATTGACATTTCATGTAATTGACTAATTTCCCTAACTTGTTTATTGATAAGACGTTTCTAGAGAGGTTTTAATTTAATACAGTAAATAAAAAAGGTTAAATACTGTATTAGTGTTTGAAAATGTGACTTGCACTAATCACAAATCTTAATATCCAATTAATTTAAGTAATCTATCACTCATTACCAAGGCCCGCATGCCAGCACCTTCCACTGCCATCAGCCCATCACTAACCTAGCTAACAGTGGTTAAATTTATACATACCCTCTTCGAGCGGAAGCGGAAAGGCTGTCCACCAGCCATGGCTGGCGGGGAACAACACTGGGGAGTTGGACAATCGTCAAAAGTCGAAACAATTGCAAAAGTGGACAATGGTAGCTAGTAGCAGTAATGGAGCTGCTAGAAGCTGGATTCTTCCTTGTATATTAACATGAAGCTAAATTCACTTCCTTGATTCCTTTCCTCTTATTTCAGTTACCTAATTATTCCTTTCTTCTATCTATATGCAACTCAGCCAATTTTTGTCTGAGAGAAGCTAGACGCTTAGGGCAAGTACGTGTACGACTGTACGTACCTCGTGGAGATGTTGCTGCAACTTCAATTCTGTCAATTTTTTGGTACAAAAAGAGAACTAAGGATGACCAAGATAACTACCATTCTCCTTATTCTTAACTTCAAATTCAATTTTCACAGGACAAAAGACATTACCTTTGATAATATCCATACTTTTTCCTAAATACAATGACTTGAATCTTAGAAGCCCTTTTATTAATTAATATGTTCCATATATATATTCTAACAATCAAGAAATGTAAACAAGGTAAGTTTCTGATCTAACTACAACATTTCCTAAAACCATTTCATTTCATCACAAGGCGACTGGATATCATTCCAGAACCCTAATACAGCTATGACAATTAAGAATGCTTAACTTGGACTTTACATCTGCTAATTTCATCCTTAAATACATATAGCGACGAACACTAAAAGTTTCAACTAGTTTGGAACTTATTTGATTGCAGAAGTTCAGTACATATAACTTGCAACATGCATACAAGTAGTCACCCAAACATAGAGTTCTAGCTTCATCTTCGCCTCCAGACTCTCTCCACTAAACACATACACACACAAATTTTCTTTCATGATCTCATGCATATAATTTAAAATTTTAATGAAGTATATTGCAATTTATACGGTTCAATAACATTCATTTAATCCATGATCATCCTCTTCATGTACAAGATTAGAAGCTAAGAAGGGGGGATAGGCAGGGTAAGTTAGTCTTCTATCATCATACTGGCCTTCAACCTAATCAACATCAACCTTAGTTTCCGGTCTCTCCCATAGAACACAGTATAGTATTACGATTTTTTTTTTTTTTCTGTAAACCTTAAATCTCTTTTTACTACAACAGTACTACCTAAGCTGAATGATGCCCTCTTTAAGAAAAGGAATTGATGTAACTTAATTCTAGAACCACACTCACTAGTGACTGATGAGACATCACAATTAACAACATTGAAAGATGCTTTGACAAATATAGCAAATAACACAGTGGCAGAACAAAAATTAACGATTGAAGACGGAATAAATTGATGATGTGAAACATCAATTGTCTCCTCAATCTCATGAACAACTATTGAATGCTGAATTATACTGCATAATATACTCGTATCGAGGAGGATTGGAAAGAATAAACATTAATTACCATGATAACATTCTATGTATTCATCTTGGTAGCTTGATTAAGATGCAAACTAGATCAGTAGATATCAATATCCACAACAAAGCTAGCAAACATTTCAACTGAATAACGAAGACTTAAACAACAAACTAATTAATCAATCTCATAGAACTATGAAAAAACTGTTAATATCACAAAGATCATCAAACTGCGTTCTCTAACATACACCTAATTAATTATCAACCCGCTAGGCGCTAGCAGTTGCTACCATTAAAAGGATAAAAAGAAGTCCTAATCTGCTAATTTGCCACTGAAATCCTAGCTAATTCTTACAAGAGCTAACCACAAATTTAAGCATGCACTCCTAATTCTTTTGACAAAATGTTGTTAGTCCACCCCAAAGCTAACAATATCAACCACAAAATTCAAAATTTCTCGCCCTTTATAATTCCCCCGTTAATAAGAAGGGGGAGGGCGAGGAGGAGGACCCCAAAACATATCATGAGGCATCTGACCATTCGGCAGCAAATTAGGAGGCATATTAAATATAGGCATTGGCATTGAAGACGTACTTTGATCACCTGCTGGAGCTGGGGCTGCGGCTGCTGCAGCTGCTGGTGCACCCCCTCCTGCTACCAACCCACTTCCACTCCCATGTGACGGCTGTGATGCTGACCCGCCACCGCTTGCAGCCCCCACCTGCTGAATTGCTTCGGGCTGTGCTCCTCCCACCTCCCCACCATTATTCCCCTCAGGTCCTGCAGCATTGGACTCCTGATCTTCAACCGGGAGCCGTTCATATGTAGCATTGCTGAAAGTAGCAGCAATAACCAACACAGGACCTGATGCCACAAGAGGCCCAACAACACCACCCCCAACAACCTGCCCTTGGCCACCAGCTAAGTAAACCGTCAACCCGGTCGCTCCAGGAGGTGATGGAGACGGGAGAAACGCTCCCGAAAGAGAAAGAATCTCAAACCGTCCATGAAGTGTAACAACACCACCAGGAGCAGCCGGTTGGCGTAACGTCACATTGGTAACAATCCCACTCCCGCTGAGCACCGACACACCCCGGTGTCGGCGCTGAGCAAAATTAGCCAAACTATCAGCAATATCAGCACCAGTACTAATCTCCAAAACATGACTCCTCAAAGCATTAGGACTCTCTTTAGTAATAACAATTGGAGGTTTAGGCTTATTCTTAGACCCTGGTGGTCTACCTCTAGGCCTCCTACCACTACTACCACCACTATTCCCACCACTCCCAAATTCAACCATTTCAAACCCGCCTCCGCCACCGCCACCACTGCTAAGATTATGATTATCCTCAGAATCCAGATTATTCTCCCGGCTATCGTCCGAATCCGGGTTCGGGTTTCCATTGTTACCATTAACATTATCCGGGTTAGGGTGTTCAGACTTGGATTGATCAGAGGACATGTGTTCAACTCCCCTCATAGCTACATTACCAGCCCACCATCTGTTTGCCATTTTTTTTTTGTTTTGCTGGTAATAAAATCAACAAACCCACACCAATATTACACCAAACAAAATATACAGTGTTTATCCTAATTTAATTTTTTGTTTTATTTTGTTTTTCTAATGTCTTTTCTTTTGAAATTCTTACCAAACAAAAAAGAAAACAAATTTGACAAGGGTAATAGACTCGTAAATGGTCAAGAAAAGTGGAGCCAACTTTTGTTTATTTGGTGAATTGGGTTTTGTCAAAGGCATAAAAAAGCTGTAAGTTGTTACTTGTTAGTTGAGAATGCATTGAATTGAAATTTGATTCCCGAAAACCCTCTTATTTTCTCTCTCTTACCTTGATTCTAGTGTTTTTGCTGCTTTTGAGTCAAAATAGCGAAAGCAAAACAAGCAACTTCTACTTCAAATTTCAAATTCTTCATCCCTTATCTTCCAACTGAAAATTAAAACAAAAAAAAACAAATGCTAATTAAGATAAGAAATCATTAATAAAAATAATAATCAACCAAAAAACAAAATAAAAAACAGGAATTAAACAAAACCCACCTCAGAAAATCTGAAACTCTGACATGCAAACTCAAGGGAGTTAAGAACAACTCCAAAGATGAAATCTTTCGAATGAGAGAGTCAAAAAGCTCCTTTTTTTCTATTTTTTTTTTTATATAATACTATAAAATTTGAAGGTGACCCACAAATTAAAAAAAAAAATTTTAAATTTATTTTTTAATTTCTTCTCCTTCAATCAATCTAAAATATTCTGTACCTTGTTCTTCTCTAAACTCTGAAGAAAACACAGAGAGAAAAGATAACTAAAGGCGGTTAGTGGGTACGGCTGAATTGTTGTTGTTGTGAAGAAGGAAAGAAAGGGCAAAAGCAAGAAGAGAGAGAAAGTAAAAGAAAGGGTTAATTTTAGGAAGTCCAAGAACGGAAGGATTCTAATGTTTTCTTGTTGTTGTTCTTGCCCTTTCTAGGTATGTGGGTGGGGTTTCTTCTCTCTTTAATTTTTAGGGTCTTATTCTTTGTCCTTGCAAATCTTGTTTTCCCTCCTTGTATTATGTGTTGTAACCACAAAGGAGAATTTATTAAAGTTACTAGATTTTGTCCCTATGTAATTAATTTAGCCAGTCAAGATTGACCCGACTTGATTTACTTGACTCGTATTCAAAATTTTTAAATTGACTCTAACCGAATTGACCAAACTTATTCCAATATAGTTGGCTATATATGAACTTATAATTTAATCACATATAAATATATAACCAAAACCTAATAAGTTTAATGATTACGGAGTAATATTCGAACATTCAAAATTACCAAAGTCGTCTAGGGATAGCGTTTAGAATTTCTATTTGCCAATGAGGACAAGAGTATGGGCATAGGTTGAGCCTCCAAGACAAGAATTTATGACAAGCAAAGCCTAGGCACAACCCACCAGTTTATTTATATCTACATGACGTTTTCAATAGGGGGTCTCTTTAACACAGTCCATGTATTATGCTACCGGTCCCCTAAAATAACATTAGTTTGTACATGTGCAAAAATTTTAATTTCACTCAAACCATTATTTGAAAATAATGTCCATTTATAGGTCCATTAATATAAAATTGGAGTATATCAAATCATCAAGTCCTATCGACTCCACCCATGATCAACTCTATGAATGCCACGGTATATTTCCCTTTAGGAACTTTGGTGTTCTTTTAAATGTTCTTGTTAATTCAGTGATTAATAAGTTTCCCGTAGGAAAAGCAAGTAGTAGGGGGGCCCATTAATCAGCCGGCGCAAGATAAGGATTTCCATCCCCAGGGCCCAGGTGTTCCAATATTGAAAACTGGGGAAATTCAATAGTTTCTAGTTTTTGTATGTGCCCCTTTTTTTTTCCTAAAAATGGTTTCTCTTTTCTTACCTCTTTTAAACTTCTTGATTCACCGTTACAGGTTATGTGCAACGATTTGACATAAAATAGAGAGGGAAAATGTCTAATCGTTGCACATAACATGTAATGGAGGTAATAAGTTTACTGTAAGCTTTAACTCTAATCTCATAAACCAAATTTAATAAGATCTCACACGACAATTATTTAAGGTAAAAAGAACAAAGCCTGTTATAGACTCGGATCGGTTCAACTTCCAAAGCGAAGGGGAGGCCGGTGAGTTTGTAGTTCCAATTCCAAGGGGAAGCTAGCTAAGCTGGACCGTGGAGGGATGGGGGGTGGGGTAATGTGCAACGTGCGCATGAGAGGAAGAAAGAACAAGTCCCGACAAGAAGATGCACAGTAATTAACATAAAAAACCCTTGAATTTGAATTAGTAATAAGATGTAGTTTGAACAGAGTGAAGCAATAGGCAACCAAAATAGCACCGCATGTATGAAAGAACCTAGAAAATTACAATTAAGCAGCAGCAGCAGCAGCCCTTGTTTACTATACAGATACACATTGGATTTGTGGAATATTGGTATGGGTGTAGCAGAAGCTAGCAGAGTAGAGGAACCCACCAGGAATTGAAGTAGGAACCAGCTTTGCGCAAAGTATGTATTGCGGCTCCCAAGGTCACCTCCCCTCACATCCATTCTCCTTCTCTTCCTTTTCCCCACTATTCCATCTACTTGGATTTTTATTCCAGGAGTTTTTCATCATCTTTTATTATTAATAATTTTAATTGTGTTCAATCTTATTATATTACTACCTTGTGTTAATTGTGGGTTTTTCCTGCTCTTTACTTATATTCTTTCATTAATAATTTATTGATCTTGCATTCTTGCTTTTTTTTTTTTTTTTTATTATTTTACATAATATACTAAGGGTCTGTTCATATTTATTGAACTGGACTGAATATTTTATGAGTGAAAAAAATTGAGAAATGAACTGAACTGAAATTAAGATGAAGTGAACAAGCATAAGTATAATTTATTCAACTTGCTCTTTTTTTAGTTTGAAACATTTAATTACTTTGTATAATCAATTTAATTTAAGGCATGTTATGAACTTTCTATGAGAGCCCCAGGGGATGATGGATTGATGGTGCATGAGTAGTTAGTTGTGTTACTAACTAATACGGAGTATAAAGTATTAAAAAAATTATATCGTTTCTCTTTTCTTTTTTTCTTTTTTTTTATTGCACCCTAAGAAGTTTTACACTATTTATCTAATTTTCTTTTGTAATTTACATATTAAGAAAAAATAGACATATGAAATCTAATTAGATTTGTTTCAAAATCTACTTTTCAAGTATTAATTTATTACATAATATAACTTTTTATAAAAGTATAATTAAAGATATTAATAGCCAAAGTAATACATTGATAAGCGTGACATCACTCATGATGCAATGAAAAAAAGATTGGGGAAGTTTATAAAATATACTTGTACTTCATAATATAGAAAGATTCTTATATATACTTTCGGGTGTACCATACACCCAATGACCCAATTGGGTCTGTTCTCTTACGTTGAAATTCACTTCAGTTTAGTTCAATTCAACTCAGTTCAGCTCCTAATTTCCTTCTCTTATAAAATATTCAGTTCAGTTCAGCTCAGCTCCTAATTTCCTTCTCTTATAAAATATTCAGTTCAGTTCAGCTCAGCTCCTAATTTCCTTCTCTTATAAAATATTCATTTCAGCTCAGTTCAATTCAGCTCAATTCAGTTCAGTTCAATAAATGAGAACAGACCCTTAGTTTTGCTGTTCATTTGATGATTAAATGAAAAACAATTATCAAAACGAGAACAAAATACTTATGAATATATAGTCCAACCGAGTATATATAACAAATTTCACATAATATATATGTAATTGAAGTATTTTCAATATCTTAATAGGATCCCACGCACATAATTGGTAATTAAATTCATCTCTTGTTACCCTAGATTGCTAGGGTAATCTACAACATTATTTTTAAGATAGTCATATGCTCATCTTAATCTTAAACATTTAGAGAAATTAATAAGCCTTTTATAATTTCAAATCAACTTTTATATCCTAGAAAAACACTTAAATTTTTTAAAATTTATTTCAAACTATGTACATCTTCAAACTTAGACATTGTTTTTCAAAACCCAAAAGTACAAAGCACGAGATAATTTCAATGAACCCCGAGAGGCCATGTTGATAGTTGAAGAATCGTGAAAATCTTGACTTTTTGAGGGTTGAGATCTGATCATGGTCCGCATTGTTAAAAAAAAAACACAAACAAACAAAAAAATCTTAAAAATCAATCCAATCCATTTATCCAATAATCCGAAACATCTTTTTTAAAAAAAATAAAAAAATATCCAAATGATGTAGCGCAAGTGACAGAGAAAGCTTGCCTCTAAAATAAAAAATAAATAAAAAAAAAAGTAACAGAGAAAGCCAGAAAGGTGTGGACTTGCTTATTGACAACAGCAATGGCAGCACTGAATGTCTCCTTCACTCTCAAATTCCCACCTAAATCTTCTCTCTCTCCTCCTAAACCTCATCTCACCTTTTCTCTCTCTTCCCCACTTCATCCTCCTCCTCACAATGTAAGACATTTTTCTTTCCCAATTATCAAACATTTTCAATTTTTCCACCCTAATTTTGCTTGTTCTTCTCTAACTTTTCTGGGTTTCATTGATTAACAGGAGCTTCAAAAATTACGAGCATCAACTAATAACAAAATTGGGTTTTTATTACCAATTCTGGAAAACCCAATTGCTTCTGCAAGTTTTGCTCTTCTTCTCTCTGCTTCACTCTGCTTCTCTGACCCTGCTCTTGCATTCAAGGTATCTATTTTCTGCATTTTTCATCGTTCTTAATATTTTTATTTATTTTTATTTGTATAAATTATCTGAATTTATTATATGTTTGGGGAAATTAAAATAGGGTGGAGGGCCATATGGGCAAGGAGTAACAAGAGGTCAAGATTTATCTGGAAAGGATTTTAGTGGACAGACCTTAATCAAGCAAGACTTCAAAACGGTTCGTTTAATCCTTGCCATTTTTTTTTCTGAGTGAATTTTGTTGTTGGTTTGATTATAAATTGTAATGGGTTTTCTGGGAATTGAATCTTGATGCAGTCAATTTTGCGAATGGCTAATTTTAAGGGAGCTAAATTGTTGGGTGCTAGCTTTTTTGATGCAGATTTAACAGGTGTATTTTTTTTTATCAACTTTATAACATGCTTGATTTTGTTGTATCTTGTATAGATGTTAATTGAAATCCTTAATTGCATAGTATAAGTAGAATGTGGCTGTTTCCTTGTTTTGATCAGAATGTGTTATTTGACAATGCTCTTTAAATTATAATGGATAATCATAAACCAAGAGCATATTAAGTTGCAATCATTGTTGACAAGATGAGGAATATAAGGCCTTTTGGAGAAGCAACTTGTGTAAGATAGATAATCATCATAAATAATAAAATCTAGAGCTTATTAAGCTGTAATCATTTAAAATGAAGAATTAAAGGGCTTTCAGAAGTAGAAATGATTTTAATTTATGGAAAAATATTTATGATTTGTATATTGTGAATTCAGAATGTAGGATTTGGTAAAGTATACGATTTGTGAATTTAGAAAATGTAGGATTTGGTGAAGTGTTCCCTTAAGAAATTGCTGGGTAGAATATGTTAACATGGAGTGTATCTAGAGCGAGTTACTATACTTGGGTGAAGGTAGAGGAAAATTCAATATGCAAAAGATTGCAAACTACTCCGTAGTGACGATAATGTATATGGGATTACTAATTAGTTCAAGATGTAAGTATGTAATCATGCAAGAGTGAAGATAATGTATATGAATAGTTAGGGTGTTAGTTGGCTCAGTTTGGGGGAATTTTAATGGCACATGGTATGTAAGACATAATATGAAGAGCCTGAACTTTTTTTTGATAGCAATAAGCATCCTTGGATTGCCCACTGAATCTATTCTACTTGATACGATGAAGTTCATAGAGTTGCTCGTGTCCTCTTCTCTATCACAATGTTACGTAGCTTCTGTGTTTGCTTTCTACTGTAAATGATTCCCATGAAGTATCTTTTTCCTGGCTTTCTGCTGGACATCCATAATCTTAGTGTGAATGTTATAATATTGGTTCTGTCTGGTGCTTTAGGGGCTGATCTTTCAGATGCCGATCTGAGAGGGGCAGACTTTTCTCTGGCAAATGTGACCAAGGTAAACCATCGCCTTAAATTCTTGTTAAAATGCCATCCAGACGTTTTTGTAATTGAGATACTACATCAATCAGACAAAGAAGGTTATGCATTTCCTAATAGTATTACAACAGTTTTTGTTCTTATGACATGACTATTTTGTATTTTAACCTATGGTAAATGATAGTGATATACAGCAATGCATACCAGATCCATTTCAATACTAGATAATGGCCCTTTAACATAGTGGTGATTTCAGATGTTTTAAATACTTCATTTGTTCTTTTTTCAGGCAAATTTAACCAATGCTAACTTGGAAGGTGCTCTAACCACTGGAAATACATCATTTAGAGGATCAGTCATCACAGGAGCTGGTATATACACTTAATTCTTTCATTTTAGATGCAATTTTTTTTTCCGAAATAACAGTCTAATTATAATCACCAAACAGATTTTACTGATGTGCCTTTGAGAGATGATCAACGAGAATATCTTTGCAAAGTTGCTGATGGGTGAGATAATCGTTTACCAATTTAGTAATTTGTACAAATTTTCTTCATCTCGCTGTAGTTGAGAGTTGAGACCTTAAGAAGCCTGTCTTTATTTTTAGGGTAAATCCAACAACAGGAAATGACACAAAAGAAACACTATTTTGCAAATAGATTCCAGGTATGTTTACGTGTATATATTTTTGTATAGTATTGATCATACTCTATGGGCTAGTAACTAGCACTATGAAGTCAAAGAAACATTTGTATTTCAAGATTCAGAATGGTTAAACATTTCAAAGCATAGAATGCATTTTCATGGTGCATGAATTTGCTTTATTAATAGTTTCATGGTTTCTTTCAGGATAAACCCTGTCAAATATGGATCATGTATGTTGAAGCTTGGGCATGCATTTTTCGAGATCAATGCTGATTTTTACATGTAACTTCTGGAAGTGTCGATTATCTACTAGACGCAGGAAAAAGTTGCAAGGTATCAATGCTTATAAAAAATGTAATTGTATTGATTTAGAAGGGAAACAAGCTACTATCAGGAGCTCAGAAACTGTATTCTTGGACAGTATTATTACACTGTAAAGAATTTACTAAAAAGGGATAGAAAACCTATTTGAGAGTTTCGGCTCCTTTCCATATTACAATAATGGATCATTAATTCATAAAAAGAAAAAATATGCTATTATTCGGTGGCGAAAGGCCAGAAGCTAATGGAGTAGCTGAGCTCAATTGTTCATGCCAGTGGCGTTCTTGACAGCTTCAGCAGCACCCCCTGCCTTGGCCATCATTTGTGAACCGGCCTGCATTAGAAATTGTTACTCGTTATTTTTTTGATAATTAAACTGATAATAATGGTCATTTAAAAACATAAGCATATGCAAAGCCAAACCTCTTGGACTGATTCCTTAGCAGACTGGAGCATGCCACCGGCCTGGCTGGTCTTCTCACTGGCGATGTCTGAAGCCTGGCTAGACTTTTCGCTGGCCATGTCTGATGCCTGGCTGGTCTTTTCCCCGGCCTTTTCTGACATCTGGATGGTCTTTTCTCCGGCCTTTTCTGAGATCTGGCTGGTCTTTTCTGACATCTGGTTGATCATTTCTCCGGCCTTCTCTGACATCTGGCTGGTCTTTTCCTGTAATTGGAGAAAGGGATTTTAAATCAGTTTTTTTTTTTTTTTTTTCCTGACTTTGTTTTACCAGAACACCATTGAGGATTCAATTGCAAGAATGGTTTCGATTATCATGAAATAGGGAGACATTGTATGAATGAATGAATGTAATGCAGTAAAATATTAACAGTATCTGATATTATCATACTAGATATGCTTGAAATCTGATTTACAAGCTTATAATTTCAAGCGCGAGTGCCATCTGCATTAGAGGCACTCATAGTTAAAGATAGATGGTTGGTCATGCAGTATCACCATGGAGGAAAACATTTTCAGACATGGAAGTGTGAAAAACATCGAATGAATAAAGCGAAACATCAGTGCAAAATTACCTCAGCCTGGGCCTTGGCCTCACCGGCGTTGAAGCTTGCGTTCTGGGAGTTACTCATGTTGGATATTGTTGAAAGAAGTGTAGAAGGAAAGTGTGTATGCAGAAGATTAATGAGATAGAGAAGTATGTAATTGCTGATGTTAAAGAACAATTAACTTGCGCTATTTATAATGTTTGGAGATCAGCTTTCTACTTAACATGTGTTTTGCAATCCGGAATTTTATTTTAGCCACAATTATATTTTACCGCACAAATTCTGGAGATTTTGACTCATTCTGCTTTTCTCTACAATTTGTGGGTCGAACTTACTGCAAGAAATTGGAGGTGGTTTCGTTCAATTCAAATTAACAATCACAAATACCCTGATATAATTGCTTGGTTTTAGTTAAAAACATGCAAAAAAAAATTCACCCAAAATTTTAGAAATGTACCCCTATAAAAGTGTACATTGTAATACTTATCATCGTAGACTCATACAAAATACTTTGTACGAAGTATATCATAAGACGTCCGTGTTTTTGAAAAAATGAATATTGACTTATCGTTTATTTTAAAGCAATACTTCGTATATTATTGTGAAAAAAAACATTTACACAGAGACTGAGTAGGTAGATTTAGCGATGTCCCTCAGTATTTGAAGTTAGCAAAACCATATGAAGATGTTTGTAACAATATGGTTTCATAATTTCTACCAATATCTTTCAGTCTTCATTTCAAAGGTGAACACAGGGTTAGAGATTGTTAAGGAGAAAACAATCTAATAGAAGCCTGGTGTCACCTTTATCAATTATTCTCAAACAAATTTCGCAAGCCAGAATGGTGACGGAGAAATTAAGGTGCATTCTATTCACTTAATTTTCAATTATTTAGACTTTTATTAACTTATAATATGAACTTCTTAGACTTCATTAGACTTTCGATAGTTTATCGTGCACTTAGATAGCCATTATGTGTCCTTAACACTTTAACAGAACTTTTGTGAACTTATGCTTCTAGAACTTATTAGAATTTATCACACTTTATGGCCTTGGTAAGCATTTACATCAAAAAAACTTCCACAAGAAATTAACAGCTTTATAACTTCAGAAAGAAAATATTACAAAGATGTCAACTGTCTAAGGACTCGAGGCTGTGTTCTGTATAGTTCATTGTAGGCTGACGTCGCAGAAGGCGAACATGAAGGGTTACATTTACATACCTACACAGACGATCTTCTAAGCAGAGAAAAAATAGCTATCTGTGTGGAGTATTAGTGTACATAAACTAACTCTAATCTACTCCTAGTATAAGAAAAGAAAAAAGATAAAAGTGGAGGAGAGTGCTCCTTCCTTTTCCTCTTCTATTTATAAACTTCGGTGCAGCCTTAAATAGAGCCGAACCTCCACATTACCTGAAAATTCAAAGGATTACCATTAGATCCACCATTTTAATTTGTTCTTTTCTACTATCCCATGAGATTTCAGTTGTATCCACAATCATCTAGTTATCGGGCCAGAAATCCATTTGCTTTCTAGCATGAAAATGTTTAAAAATTTGATCTAAGAGGGGCTGTGATCTGAATCCTGAATAGCAGGACGCCAGGACATGACATCGGTGTTCAACAACACTGACTAAAAATTGCACTGATGTAGAAACATGAAGTATTTCGTAATGCAAGGGCTAGTTAGTTTCTTTTGGAATCAATGCATCAGCTTTTCCTGCCATAATCTGACCCATATATATTGACATTATCAGAATATCATAGTATCCTGCTCCCACTAATGCATTCTCTACATCAGTTTCAGTTTTCTTTCGAGTTAAGGTGCAGACAATCCATTTATCATTGACAGATTCAAAACTCCAATGAGCACAGAATAAAAACATAGTGTTCTGATGGAGAGAGCATATGGCAAGCCCTTCACTGCTTATTAATGCAGGAAGGCAGTCATCCAGATTCGAATTTAGTATCTCCATTCGCATGGCATGATTGCATTTCATATAATCATATCTTTGACTAAGTGGAAAAAACCATTCAGCCTGTAAATGTGCACAAACCCAACCTCATAAAGTCAACTCCTAGATGAAACATTTTTGTATCATATTAGTGCAGTAATGCTCCCTACTTATGGGATTAAAGCTTTAATTGATTGATTGACTAATGCAGTAATGCTGTCTAAAATGTAGGGTGTAACTTGATTTACACTAAAGAAACAAACAATTAAATGAGTAACATATCTAAAATGATATTAAAAGAAAGAAAGAAAAAGGTTAAGCTAACCTTCAGGTCCTTCACATAGTGATGGTTTCCCTTGGCTTACAGCTTCTAATCATTATTCGCATGTTACTGTACACAGTCGGGCTGTTTCTAATCTGGCAGCACTCCCTTCGTGGTGCCTGTTCATGCAATCATATTAAACTTGTTAGTACACATAATTCAAATAAATCTTAAACTTATACTGTATATTCCCTCAACATACACCACATGAAACAGACATGGTCATGAAGCAGAGCATCAACTCTAGTGAACGGACATATTATAATGAAAAAATACATCAAAGGAGCAGACCTATATGGTCGGTCAGTAATGTAAGCTGCTGCTAAAACTTTTTTAAGCTACCAAAATCAAGGAAAAAGACAGAATTTTTCAAAGATAAAACATATTGTTCTACGGAGTTTATTAATTTAGACTGATATAGAAAGTCCGGGTGTTGTTAAAATACGTCCCGCAATAGAAGTCTGAGTCCCCCAATTAAATAATTTTAAGTTTACCACTGCAAGGTCATACCAGTTCATTCTTCAATGCTGAAACTATGGTCAGATGCTCAAATACTCAAAACACAGTAGCAAAATGCACAACAGAGAGATAATCAATGAGGAAGCAAATTTCTTCTTCCAAGTAAACAAACCTTCATCCACTTCTCAGGGCCCGTCTTTGAAGCAGAAATTGTTATATTATCCACTGACAGTGCATTCTTGTAAGCTGGTTGCTCACATTCTTTTCCATCAGCGGCAGTAGCCCTCTTATAAGTACTTACAGTTTCACCTTCACCAACTTCCTTAACTTGGTCTAGGAAATAAATGATAGGCCTCTCACAAGGATCATCCTTCATGGGACGGGTATTGAACACAAAAGGTCCATCGCTGGAACTGCGCCAGGTACGAAATGTCTGCAGAGGTATACTAAGGACCTTGGATGAAATAAGGGAAGGATATAACTGCACGGTATAGCCCCACGATACAGATACTGACCATTTACGGCTGTGATCATAGCAGAAACTCTGCTGAATGGTAAGACCAGGATCAGCATGGTACGCATGCAACAGCTTTCTTAGAGAGTCCAACTGATTTTCACCAGGAAACAAGGGTTTTGCACCAAGAAGATGGTGTAGTGACACCAATGGAGCCACAGGATGAGCAGCTAAAAGACCATAGACGTCTCCTCTAATGTCAAGCTAAAGCAAGAAAACAAATGAAAACTATCATAAACAAAACAATCAAAATTAAAAGAAAATCTTCTTATAACAATAACAAAATATTTATATGCATCAATCAGATTATCATATTAGCAAGCCAGCAGTAAAAATGAACAAGGTGTTTTTCCCCTCTTTTCCATTAATAAATTAAGCTCAACAAATGCAATTCGCTACTTCCTTTGTACAAGAGCTAAATTGACATGTAAGGGATACCAAATTTAGAATGTCCCATGTATAACATACAAAATAATTGGGAAAGGATTTTCCCTCAGATTTTTCACTAAAGTTGGGACACACCCAATTACTCTCTTTTTTAATCTCTATATATTCTTGGTCCTTAACTTATTTGCCCATGAGCAATGTCAACTTATCTTTGGAATCATGGCGGTATTATTTCATCATCCTATTAGTAGCCCACATCTCATTGTATGTTGTTTCACAAAATAAACATTCTACGTTCTTTTTTCATCCAAAAACATGTACCAAGAGACTAAGACCAAATCACTGGTATGCCTGCCAACGATTATTTAATTGTATTAAAATACATTGCTCCATAGAGTTCCTACAATAGTTCACCGTTGTCTAAGCAAATCACTTGTCTTTTTTCCTTCAGGAACAAACAAAGGATTTAAAAAAAGAAAAACAACTTGGAATAATTTCTTTTATTAGTCCACCTAATCCGGAGCAATTTCCTACTACTATTTCAAAATAAGAACATTGAAATCATAATCAAAAGGAACTTTACTAGGTCCACATGAAATTATACCATATTACAAGGTGTTGTAATTTGACAGGCAATAACAGAACAGGAACACCTGAAAGCAACAAAAGTTTGCCGCTCTAAAAAGATAGAGAATTGTTGATAGCACTAGTAGTAATTAAAAAGGAATAAAAAATAAACACCACCGTCTAAAGTGGATCACCAAAAAAAAGTGAAATGCTAAGTAAGTGCCTAAGTGGGGTTAGGTGTTTTTAACGGGACAGGCACGCACGCACATACGCACACTAATTAAGAAGGCCATTGGTTTTGGTACTATCACATTAAAAACCTTCTCTCAAAACACACCAAACCATGTCACTAACTCACAGATTGTATAAAGTATGTATGTAAAGTATATCTTAAGGTTATCAAAGGTTATGAAATTAAGTTAATACTTTTATAGTCAAAGTTAGCAAAATTAGATTTGAATAATAAGGCTTTTCATAAGAAGAAGAAAAAACACACATTTTGAAGTTTGGCTTGTAGCATTTTATCATTTTGTTTTAAAAACGACCAACTTCTGCATTTTTTTTTATTAAAATTCATGCTACAACCTATCAAAAGAACAAATAAACAAAGTGATCATGTCTATTTATAAAATGCTAAGAATAATTTGATCATGCCATAAAATCCCACAGCCTATAACTTTGTTAAAAATTCCTATCTTCTATCATTTTAAAATGTCAGAGTTAGTACTATGTGAGTAGATCTAACCATGTACACTGGACACTTGGACAACTGGTTGGAAACACAAAAATGCCGCATGTGCTCCTCGACACTTGGCGATGATTAACATTGTTTGGTGAGCAACTTCCTTCAGTCCTCCACTTTAAAACTCATTACGGCTCGAAAAGAGTTGTTACATTATTAGTTATTACTCCGTCATTCAAATTACAAAATCAAAGTGACTATTAATTAAGGCTAGATAGAGTAGATGTTTACTGATTAGCTAAGATTAATGGACATGTGAGTAATTTGATTAAAGAAAAAGGACCTCATTTGATATCATTTGGGCAAAATAATCAATAGGGTGGACCCAATTGATTAGTACAAGTCTTACATAATTTGAACACTTAAACATCAAACACAAGTTATCAAGACGTGCAGTTAAGTGATTAGCTGAATAAATAGACACGCGAGTAATTTCGATACAGAAAAAGGATCTCAAATTCTCAATACTGTAAAACTTAATATCAGTTGGGCAAAATCATCAACAGGGTGGACCAAATGTGTATATTCTCCATTCATTTTTGTTTCATTTGGGGTAAATTTTTTTACTACTATTTGAGATATTTAGTACATATAATAAATATCTTTGCCAGAATTTCATGATCTACAGTCAAATTATATCACAAGCAGACTATGCAGTTCACACATTATAGACTTACAGACACTCATTATCTTTGACCCGTTCTTAAAAATGTTATTAATGCATCAAAAACAGCATAATACTAAGGCTCTGTTCTCTTTAACTCGTTAATATACAAGGTACTTCATAATTACAGTAATAATAATCAACGACAAAAATCAGTCTAAATCAGCATATAGCTTCAAGCCCTCGATAGCATTTAATTATAAGAAATTAACACTTTGTATCAATACAAAATTTTCTCAATAAGTTAAAAAAGCTTTAATTTCTGGTAGATGTAATTAATGAAGTCATCACCAAACTAACAAGTTGAGTACTAGACTACTAGACATCATACATACACAAGTGTATAATGGCCTAAATTGGCAACTCGCCAACCCTAACACGTGGAACATTCCCCACAAAGTCTGATTGTTTTTCCAACACCCAGAAATTTATGAACATGAATCTATCTAGGCCATTCACAGTCTTCAGTTTTAGAAATTATAAACAACATGCCCAGATTGTTCCCATTAATAACACCATTATTACTTCGAATTACACAATCAACGTGACAACTAATTCCGGATAGAGCTTTTTTTTTATTTGGAAAGTTAAATTTAAGTCATAATTAGTCAATTAAACCGGAAAAAGAAAAGTAACAAAATTTACCTGATGAAAGCCAGGTTCTTTAGTTAGAGGAACACCAAGTTCAGCAACACAAGCAGAAACTTTCTCATCAGACCCATAAAAATTATGATATCTCTTAATACACCCATCTAAAATCCTCACCAATTCACAAGCTAAACCATAGCTCACCGCAAAACCACCCCCACCAAACGCAGTTCCATACCCATGCATCACATTTTGCTCGACACTCTCGCTCGATCCCCCGATATAGTACATTTCGCGGTGATCATACTTGGACAGCACCTTCACCAGGTTATCCGTGAAGAACACCGTGTCGTCGTCCCCCATCACGAACCACCTCACCCCGGGAAGTCCGACATCGAAGCTTTCCTTCAGTATCCGGGCCATTCGATCGGAGTTCGAATGGTCATTTCTAGTCGGGCCGAACTGGAATTCGGCCCGACTCGAAACCCGGTACGGAGGAAAGCTTCCCGGGGTGATCATAGGAGGATGATCATCCAACCAGACGAACCCACGAGTAGTGTTGGGGTCCCACCATAGCTGGGAGTACTCTCTTCGGGCCTCCCATGTCTTGGAAGACCCACCAAGCCCGAACATTATATGGGTCAGCCGGGTCGGGCCAGGGTCCGGGCTAGATAAATTACAGGAATAATGTGATGAATAAAAGGAAGAAGAAGAAGGGATGACAGCGGAGAGAGAGGAGAATATGCGAGTTTGGGAAGGAGGGAGAGAGGTGAGTAAGGCGGTGAGGGCAAACATGGAAATAAATAAGAGGAGAGAGAGAAGTAAAGTGGATTTTATTAAGCGAAAGAGGTGATTTTCATGGGGTTTATTTTCTGGGTTTGAAGAGTTTTTCATGGTGTTATTGTTTTGGTTCATTTTGATTGAATTTCTGGGAATTTGAATTTTGGAGTTGCAGAGATAAAAGGAACAAGAAGAAGGGTAAAAGAGGAAGAGAATGTTACGGTTTTTTGTTTTTGAAGGTTTAGGAAAGTGAGTTGTGTTTTGTTTGTGTGGTTTGTTTTGATTTTTTTTTTGTTTTTTTTTCAAAAAAGGTGGAAACAACTCAAACAAAACAAGAAATCTTTGATGTCGGTCAAACTTTGGTCACAAAAAGTCAACTATTTTTGAAATATTTTTGTGAGGTGATCAATGAAATTAGTATAGTGGGGACATTTGAGAGAACTATGCAATATATATGGCTTCCATAATAATACAATAGGACTATTTGAGATCAATGAGATATAATAGAAAATCAAATCTTGTTGGATTATTAATTTATAAGCTTCAAAAGGATAATGTGTTTCTAGGATTTTAACTTCCTTCTTAGTAGTATGAAGATTTAGGATTTACCCTAGCAAAAAATTATAAGTGTCAAATTATTGTTGGAATCATAAGTATCTTGGTGTTTTCGAACAAAGTGGTTTGATTATGCTTAGTGATTTAAGTAAATTATGCATATGTAGGGACTCTAATCTCCTTGCTTGATAACTACCGGGAAAAGTAGTCTCCTAATTTAGTAAATCAATACGATTCAATTCATGAACATATTATGCATGATTATTTCATTATGAACATATCTTAGTGGAATTATCCATGGGATATATACCTAACACAATAATTACAAAAGACATTAATTGATTTTGTACCAAACATACAAAATTTATTTCTCTTATTTAAACTACCAATTAATTCACATTAATGACAACTGTTCAAAATAATATGTTTGTATGTTGTAAATTGTAGCATATGACATAACGATGACTTAATGGTAAGGCACAAGTAAATTTAATTACTACTCCCTCTATCCCAAAAAGAACGACCCATTTGGGTTGATTACGCGGGTATTAAGGATGTTAAGTAAAAAAAAGTAAAAGTATATTGGAAAGATAAATTTACATGGGTTTGTAAAAAAATAGAGAGAGAAAGTAATAAAATAACATGGAAAATGAAATTTTTATATGAGGAAGCTAATTTTGCACAAATATTGTTGCAAATTGGTGGTGTTTTAATGCAAATGGGTCATTTTTTTTGGGACAAAGTTTTGACCAAATGGGTCGTTCTTTTTGGGACGGAGGGAGTATTAACTATATTTAAACCGGATCATTAGTAAGCATTGGTAGGGTAAAATTAAATTTTTGATACATATAACCCTCTCAACCTTAAGAGTTAGCTAACTATAAACATTTAATATACGGAGTACAATTTTTTTTAAAAATAACACAATATCAAAATCAAACATTAAATCGGTGTGATTAATATTTTATTTAACTTTAGAATTTTCACTTTAATTTTTAAGCAATATCCTACAAAGTACTTTGTATATCATACTTTAAATCTTGGATTGTTTACTTTATAATAAATACTTTTTTTTTTTTACACAACTTTATAATAAATACTTGATGTTAAACAAAAACATACTACGTAGCTCAGTCATTTGGAGCCTTGTTCCCTACCTATCCTAAACTGGGTCAAGTAGATGTGCATAACACTAACACTATTCCTGGTAAAGTCTTAAGTACTTTTGTCAAGGCATCTAAATGGCTTAAGATAAAAAAAAACAACACAAAGTATTAATTAGATGTTTGAAAGACATGAAACTATGAAAGTGTATTGTTTGAATGTTTTGCGCAACAAAATGGCTTCACTTTATCCTATGATCCTATATTCCCAATGAAATTAAAAAGTCCCACTTTTTGTCAAGGCATCTAAATGTCTTATGCTGGGTTGGCCCACTTCACTTTAGTCATTATTATCGTAGTATGTGGGCTTTGGTCCAAATAGATATTCGCGTCGTTTCAGGGGCCTTGTAATCCAACAATATTCTTCATTTTATACGTGACCAAATTATTCAACATCAGTATCTTAAAATTTAGCAAGGATTTTGGAATTTTGTTAACGAACACCCTCGGGTGTAAGATTACCTTTAAATAGTTTCTAAAATTATACTTTGTATTAATTTGAAAATCTATCTTAAAATTATACGTCGATCGATATAATTAATGTTTATTTCAATTTAATGTTTGTACTTTGATTTATTTTATCCAACACTCACAGGGTGTTCGTTATCTTTTGTCATTTAACAATTAAGGATACATTCTCCATTAAAGATATTGACTTATAATTTCTTCTTTATTTCTTGCACAATTGAATTAATTTATATAATACTCCGTTGCAATTTGGTTACCTTTTGTGATCTCTAATTTATTATACTACTTTAAACAAAATGCAATATTTCATGTCATTTAGTAACAGGAGAAATACAATAATTTATTGTAAACCAGGTCCATGCAAGACCAATTGTCAAATTGTTGTTAATTTGTTATCATCAATTTTTTTTTTTTTTGAACGGATTTGTTATCATCAATTAGTTAAGCATATTGATTACTGTTTCCTTTTAGAAAAAATATGTTAAATTGTAAGTATCCCCTATGTTTTCAAACACAAAATCTATATAAAAGGTGGTTTGATTGTCAAACAACCGTCAATTAATTATATAAAACATTTAAAGTGAAATGAGAAAGTTAAAAGATACACGAACAAAAGTATATACTTATAAAAGATTTTTAAAAGGAATGAAAAAGACCAAATTAAAAGTTAGGGCATGTTCTGATTTATTGAGCTGAATTGAAATGAATTGTTTATGAGAGAATGAAATTAGTAACTGAACTGAACTGATTAGAGCTGAACTGAGTTGAATTGAAATTAAGCTGAAAAGAACAGACCCTTAATATGTATAAATAGTTTATTGAATTGGACCACGTGATTACTAACACAGGTAGAGTTGCTACTACAGAGTATCAAATATCGTTTTCCACCCTCCAATAAATCAATGCATACCTATATAATCTCTTTAATTGGCATCGATGAGGATAAGTAGATTCAAATACCTAACCTCTTATAAGAAGGATGATTATTTAACCATCTAAGTCAATTAACAATTATGTTATAACATGAAAATAAGAATACATAATTACAAATCACAAGATCTGATTAAAAAAATACACCATAAATATCAAATACATACAATTACAAGTTTTATAAAGTAACAACTCGGTGTAACATTTGAAATACACACTGTTTATCAGTAAAAACAATGTACTAGTAGTATATAATCTTATTTATGAGCTAGCTAGTAATCGGTGGAAATTAAAATGAATACAAGAACGTTAACATCAAGAGGTTGACAATTATACAATTTGAATGAAATTATATTATTGACTTATCATATCTTACATTAGAGTAAAGCAACTAAAAATCACCACCGCCAAAAGTAACCCTCTCTAGCAAGCTAGAACAGCTTTTTTATGATGACCAAATATAGTTCAATAACATAGTCAAATTAAGAAATAGATACTCCGTACTAGTTGTTACAATGATATTGAAAGTTTTTCTTCGCTGTTTTACAACGGAAGTACTATAATCAAGTATTTTCGAATGAATTAAGTATATATTTGACAGCTCGTGTATAGTCTTAATTAGCTAGGTTAGAATATAGTCTCGAGAAATTGTACTCTTAAACTTCTAGCTTTGGCTTGTCAAGTTCGATATAAGATACTCACAACCCACTTGTTTGTTTGAATAAGTAGTTTATTACTCGTATATATTTTTTTTTTCTCCGTAATTAATTAATTAGTTGTACAACAATTTAAATTAGTGTACCCCATATTAAACAAATATAAGTTAAATACTTTATGCAAGGTTTGTTGTTGAGTTGATGGCTACATTACGGTCCAGAGACCAAAGGTGAAAGGTGAGCATCAAGGTTGAGACAACGAGGCTTCTAAATAAAAAACGTAATATATTTGAGATAAATGGACCAACTTCAAGTTCGTATATGTATATACTTGCACACTAGAAAGAAAGAAGAAATCGTACATTGCATTTTATTTTAAAAAATTTGTAGTGCATAAGAAATTATTTAAACAAAATTTTGCTTAAAAATGGTGGATGACAGAGAACGAAAGTCACAAGTCACGGATGAAAGTCTCTTTCATGAGACAAAAATTTGCTCAATAACAGGAATTAGAATGATACTTCATGCAATAATAAGCTTAATTAATATGTTTCAAACATTATATTCAAATGTAGAGTTTGGGCGTATCTTTGGATAAGCAAGACCGTGAAATCTTTAACACGTTCATTAGCCAACTAATCAAAATCCAGATTATTACTATTTAATTAAGCTAAAGATTTCAGCAAGTACTTTATTTGATTGATTGATTTGTAGCTAAGTTTATTGATAGTTGCTCAATTGCTATTCCTCTTAAACATGCATGAACATGACATACAAGTAATACAACACATCGTCACTGTTTAAAAAAATCCACTACTCATTTAGTATATAAGAACCTATTAATAATTTTGTCAAAAAAAAAGAACCTATTAATAATTCATAATCCTTTGAATCAGGGTCTTTTCTGATTTACTGAACTGAGTTGAACTGAACTGAATTGTTTATGAAAGAAGGAAATTAGGAACTGAACTGAATTGATTGGAGCTGAACTGAACTAAAATTAAGCTGAAGAGAACAGGCTCTCATTATGTATTGTTCATACATACATACATACAAGCACTTTCTATATGAACATCAATAACGTAATTATATTTCTATCTATGACACAATCGAGTACTATAATAAGGTCTCACTTTATATGAAAGTTTTGTAATTAATCAAAAACAGATGATTTAAATTAATTTTGCAACTAATCTGAATTGAAATAGATATATAGAGAGCAACATGGAAAGTTAAAACCTTGATTCCATTTATTTTTAGCTATCAAACATAGATCAAAGCAAACAAGATGCATTGGGAGACATAATGTACACAAAGATGCAAATCAAAAGTGTCAATCAATTTAAGTTTATGTTCAGAACTAAAAATGGATTTCCAATTGTCTTCTTTCAAGCCATCTATTTTAACCATAGAAGGATCAGAGTTCCATCAAAGGCATGACAGTTGCATAAATTCCTTCTTATATGTGGGACCATACAATAAAAAAAATTCCAAAAATAGCAAGTTGCACACACTTCAAGACCCCCTCAAACAGTACAACTCTTTTAGGAAACAATGACTCAAATATAAGAAGCTAAGCTTCTTAATTAACTTCCCATCTACCAAATTCATAATTAAGCAGCCTCACAAAAAGTCAGTCCATTGACATTTTCCCCCTAATTTTCTCTCTCATCTTTTGTTTTTCCCTATTAAATTCTCATGTTACTTTCATGCCTTTAATATCCAATTAAAACACACTAACCAAATCATTTAAGATATGCCAAGTTTCATTTATATCTAGCAACTTAGGTAAGTTTTTGTGGTACAAGCCATCATATTATTTTATAAAACAACATATATGTTTGAACATTCTTGGAGATGATATGATCATATTCCAAGTTTCCAACAACAAATACTATGAAGAGATTCAACCAAAAATCATGTTCTTCATGGAAAGATTATCAAGAAGAAGCTGCCTTTGCTAAAGACGCGATTCGTGGGATCCAAGGAGGATCAATAATATGGCCTCAAAGATCATATTCATGTAGTTTTTGCAAGAGAGAGTTTAGGTCAGCTCAAGCTCTTGGAGGACACATGAATGTTCATAGAAGAGATAGGGCTTTACTTAAACAAGTCACCTCCAATAATAATATTGATGATCATGTAATCATCAACCGGCCTTCAAAATCAACGGTTGCTATTAATCCATCTCATCAGGTTTGTAACCCTAAGACTAGTATAACACATCTTAATTTATCTAGTAGGGTTTCTTCAAATTCTGTAATTAGTGGGGTTAAGAAAGTAATTAGTAGCCCTAATGATGTCGTCGTTCAAGCTAATATGTCCATGGGGTTGGATTTAGCTATAGGGACATACCGAAAAGAAGAAGATTATTATTATTGTCAAGGAGAGTATTTGAAGTATAACAAGAGGTTTAAGAAAAATGGTGATTATAATGTTGTTTTGTTTCCATTCTTTGAAGAGAATAGGTGTTCTAATGTTAAGGATGATATCGATTTACATGTACCGGAAAATTCAAGTCTTAAAGTTGGTAAATCTATGGAGGAGTTGGATTTGGAGCTAAGACTTGGTGAACCACTTCATAAAATCAAGTAGCAATTAAGCTAACTATCATATGTTGAATTTGGAATTAGCTTGTAGTACCCTAGCTATGTATTCACATTGAATCGGTTATTATATATACAAAGTATTAATTAACTACATATTTTTGTTAATTAGATTAATTATGTTACATGTTTATTGTGTTGGATTGTATGAACAAAATTCAATACAATGAGATGATTGTTCCTTTCATCAGTTGTTAATTGTTATTATTTCATAGCTTCAAATTGTACTTAATTTGCTGCTTTATTTTTATTTATGTATTTTTTTGAGTTATAAAGAATTATATCTATCAGTTAATGATTATCTATCTTACGAATTTAAATTGATACTGCAATTCGTATTATACCATGCTTACGAATTTATGATAGTGACATGCAATGATAATGTCACTTCAATGTACATGCTTGAAGCTTGAAAGCTCTTTTTCAAACTCCCAAATCAAATCAGTTATAAATCATAATAATGGTGGATGTAAAAAAATTATTAATCTGATTGAGGGGTCAATGCAACAAATTAACATACAAAGTACATTATTTCTCAATAATAATGTGCGAAGAATTAATTATAAAACTATAACTTAATATATTAGGGAAAAAAAATTTCTATATAATTGAAAATTCTATGGAAAATGCACATATAAGATGAATGTCAAGCAATTCCTGGCCTAGTAGAATGTTGGTCTTCTACAAGATCTAATATGTTCTTCCGTTCTTAATCTTGTAACAGTGCAATACACATAACAATCTCTTATGAAATATACAAGTGTATAATACACTCGAAAATAGGTTGGTAAGAGAATAAAGTATCTTCAAGTTAGGATTTTAGATAATAATCACGTACAATACATATGTTATAATTAATATACACACTTAGGGCATGTTCTAATTTACTAAACTGAACTGAGTTGGAGTTGAGCTGAGCTGAACTGAACTAAACTGAATTGCTTATGAGAAAAAGGAAATTAGGAACTGAACTTAATTGAAATTAAGATGAACAAATATATAATAATGTATAAATATAATTATTGCCTTTGACAAAAAAAACCTTCTACGAAAATTCTAGCAATTCCATGAACCAATCCAAATCAACGAAAAAACCAATCAAGTTGTCAATTAAGAAAAAAAGGAGGTTTGTCGTGGTCGATAGAATATAACTTGTGCATTTGGTTAATTACAAGGAACCTTATTAGAAAACAATAATGTTTAACTAATATAATTGGCATTATTTACGGTGTCTTTGTCTCTAATTTCTTTGACTTGTCGTGTAAATACATCGTCGTCTCTGTCAGTGTCTATGTATACTTGGCCATTCAAGCTGAGATCAATGGAGTTTCGGTTTAATGTATTTAATTTAATATACTTTTAATTATAAGATAATATAACTTGTATAAAATGTGATTAGTTAGCCCTAATCTTGGCATTAGTCTTGTAGACACGTGCGTGGGTATGCTTTGTTATTCCACACGGAATTAAAGTTGATTATACTTGAATCCCATTGGCCAAATAGATTAAATAAATTAGGCTAAACGGATAATTATTAGCTACGTACCTCACACTTAATAATAAACATGGTGGCTTAAAGAATAGAAAAATAAATCATAACTCTCTTATGTGGCCTCACTAGATACAATACTTGTGTAGATTTGATAAATGTTAGGAGTTACGTCGTTTATATGTTACGGAGTAGTTGTCTAGAATAATTCTCATCCTTACGTAAAGGTGATAGAAGCTAATTTTCTTTGTCTCTAAAGAATTGAGAAGGAGATCTTCTAGCTATGGAGTACAAATATATTATTTTTGTGTAATATATATATATAAACTTAAAAGAGTACAATTTTAAATTACAATAATACTTGGCATCAATGACATCATTTTTGGATTTTCTATTTGTCCTACTCATGCACACGATAATACTGTTAATTTTCCATAATCTATATAATTCAAGTTCGTTACTCCGCAATTCCGCATTTAGGTAATATAATACAGTATGTACTATGGCTATACATGACTACATGTGTAATCAAAAGCATGATCAAAGTTAAATTTTGTTGATTAGCATATAGCATTATTCTACAAATTTTATTATACACTGGATTATACCTAGATAACACAATTGCAATAACTTGGAATTGACAAATGACAATCATTTCACCAAAAGGTTAGCTTTTGAACTGAAAGTCTATAGTAAGAAGAAAATGTACAACTAGTGAGAAAAAGGATGTACTAATATAATTAAACCTAGTGCCAATAACAATGCATGCAACCACTAAGCAAAGGCAGGCTGCTGTAGTTGACAAAGATTGTTCATGCTGTAAACAACAAACAAGTATCCCATTATATTCATGTAACATCGCTTTTGCCCATTAATTATTTACTTTTTCTACACCTTTTTTTAAAAAAAAATTATATATTATATAATATATACAATTCCCTCATTTATTTACTGCAATTAAACTGAGAAATAAAGAATTGTATGAGACATGAAAACTCAGTTTACTAGATAAAGTAATGCAATTTATCCCTTTACCCATAAACTGGTAAGAGGTGAATTTCTAGTTTCTACTAGTACGTGGGATCTTGATTTTCTAGGAGAAATTGTGACAGATCTCTGTAAGAGAACAGAGCAAAATACAGAGAGTAGATTTCTATTTTCTAGGAAGTTTCTCTACTGCTCAATTGCTCATACATAAATTTGATAATTAAAATTTTCAATAAACAATATACAAAATTGATGTACTGAAGATATACACTGATGAGCCGAATCTTAAATGATCCTACATGACTAATTCACCAAATACAATCATAATAGATTCGGTAAATATTGCAAAAATCAAAACATTGCAACTTAAAAAACACACTACTCCGTATATGGTTTTGCAGCAAATCAGTTTATTGTAAAATTTACTAGGTGAAAGTGATGAAGAAAGGGATACAGGAGTTAGCACATGGGTGTATTAACATGCATGCATGTATGAGGTACACAATTTCGGAGGGATTTAAAGTTTAATGTAGGTTTCAGAAAGCAAGTGCATGAATTTGAATTTATCTTCCAAATAATGTGATGGTTACTATAATTGGATAGCTTTGAGAATCGATCGTCTATGGTTTTGAATTTTTGATGTGATGCAATGTTTTGTCTTTGGACTTTGTTATTGAGAGTTTATACCTTCTCTTGAAACATTGGGTAATTCACTAATTCTTTTTTTTTTTTTTTTTTTTGAATAGATTCCCTAATTCTATTTAGTGGAATCTTGAAAGAGCAATTTTTGATACATAGGGAGAATCATGTACTCTCATGTTATTATTGTTTTTGGTTGTTTGTTTTTAGACACTTGACTTGTTACTTGTACAATGTACACTTACTCCATAAAAAGGTTTGGTTTAGAAAGTTGACTCAGTATGGACGGTCAGACGAAATATAAAGGTAGCCGATGTTTAAAAATTTGATATATATACTTGAGATCGACTCTCTAATTTTGATTAGTAAAAATACAGAGTAGTTTAATATGTAAGTAAAAAAATCAATAAATTTTTAAACATAAACAAATATAAAGTAAATGATAAAATGATCGTAATAAATTTGTTTGCAATATTATTTATATGATTTTATGGTTGTCCTTGTCACATGTATTATCTTGCCCTATTCCTTAAAACTTGTACATATTACTTATTTTTATTTTATTTTTACTTTTAATGATCGAAGAAAGGAGCATAACACATATTGAGATTATGAATTGTATCAAAGTACGGAGTAAAAAATTAGATAAAATTAGGCATTTCCAAAAAAAAATAGGGTACTCAAATTTGTCATTCATTATACATTAGAACATACGCTTTTACTGTTTTACATACAATTGAGGTAGTATTGGTATCTTTGTGACAAAAGCGCATGCGTGTTGAGCAAAAGCACAGTGATTATTATAAAAGTACATTTGTGATAAATAAAAGCGCAAAAACAACAATTATAAGTAAATTGTACTCCTTTGTATATTACGATTAAAAAAATAACATGTAATTACACAATAAAAGCACATTAGATTATCTTAATACCTGATTATACTGTTGCATATAGATCTGCATTTAATCGGTTCTTGAAATTCTTATAAAATTTTGGACCGAACCAGACCGAAGAAATGATTTTTTCAACCCGAAAACCGGACCAAATCGGTCTGGTCAGGTCTGCTTCATTTTTTCGATCCGGGCCGATTTTTGAAGACCCCTGAATGTAATACTTGTATCAAGTGAGCCACTAAAAAAATACTTTACTAAATACCATTGTACCAACAACCTAATACTTCGTACTAAATTATTTACATCTCAACAAACTCGCGACAATTGTACAAAGAGCTTGTCGTCAAGTAAAATACTCCGTATAAATCAACCAATTTGACTGCTAATCATCGGATTTACTTATTCTAAACCAAAGTTGGCTCATGAATTAAAGTCCCTTTTCATCGTTTAATCAAATAAGATATCCAAAATCATAAAAAATTGAAGAACAAAATGGCAAAACCCCAACATAGTGGCACTACTTCTCAACGATGGTCTCTCTCTGGAATGACTGCTCTTGTCACCGGCGGCACTCGTGGAATTGGGTCTCTCTCTTTCTCTCTTCTAAATGTTAAATGTATCAACTTTTCTGTGTTTAATTTTTCTGGGTATTCTATAATTTAAGGTTTCAATGTGAATGTATATCCGGGATTCTGGTTTATAGGAATGCAGTGGTTGAAGAATTAGGTGGTTTTGGAGCAAAAATTCATCTTTGTTCAAGAAATGAAGAGGAATTAAACAAGTGTTTGGATGAATGGAAGGTGAAAGGTTTTGAAGTGAGTGGTTCTGTTTGTGATGTTTCTTCTCGGGAACAACGACAGAAACTCATGCAAGATGTTTCTTCGATTTTCAATGGAAAACTCAACATTCTTGTAAGATCTTTATTTTTCGCTTGAAATTATGTTTTTTACCGGATTTTTTGAGAATTTGCAGATTTTTTTTTTTTTTTTTTTAATGATTTCTTATGTGGGGTTTGATCAGTTGGAACAAATATTACATCTTGTTACAAGAATCGTGTCTTTGACGTGTATTGAATATTTGAATTGA